ACATACATACATAAATACCTACGTACATACATACATACATACATACATACATACATACATAATTATATCCACAACTATGAAAAGGGTGCAGAAATTCGCGCCATTCGAACGGGGCTTTCGGGCATATTCTACTGCGATTACATCGGGAAGATGAGGGGGCATAGGGCCGAAGAGGAAGCTCAACCCTAAACTCCTCAACCCTAAACCCCTAAATGCCTAAACCCTGAACCCCTAAACCAAACCTAACCAGGCAGGTGGAAAAGAGGTGAGCCCCTAAACCCCTAAACCCTAAACCCTCAGCCGTAAACCTTAAACCCGAAGCCTGACAGGTTATGACTTCGAGACCGGCTTCCACTACGCAGGTGGGCCATGGCAGACCCGGCAGACCCTGTGTAGCTGGCCACCGAGCTTCAGGGTTTAGCTTAGGGGTTTTGGGGTTGAGGGTTTTGGGTTTTAGTGGCTTTGGGGTTTAGGGTTCTAGTGGTTTTGGGGTGTAGGGTTTACGGTGTTGGGGAGTTGAAGGTTTGGGTTTTAGAGGTTTAGGGTTTGGGGTGTAGAGGTTTATGGTTTGGGGTTTTGGGAGTTTAGGGTTTGGGGTTTGGGGAGTTCAAAAAAATTCAGCTGTTGATAGTTGTGGGCAGGAGAGATGCGAAAGGGCCAGGAGCTCCGCGCCATTGTGGACTCCCTGACGAACGATGAGCTTGAATTTGCAAATCTAGATGCTGGTCAGCATTGGTCGCATGCTAATTCTATGCAGGAGGTTGAGAAGTCATCTTTGCTATGCTTTGGAAGAAGGTGGGCATCATCAAGTCCTCCCTTCCGCTCTTAGCTGTCCTGCTGCGGCGTGCAGGTCATAGGTCTGTTTTTGCCAATGAAGTTTCAACGATAGCCTTCACCTACACGACGACAATCATCACAGTGGCAGCAACCATCATCATCGCCAATATCTTCTGTATCTTTGTCATCCTCTTCTCAAACCCATAATCCCCAAATAGAGGCCAAGGGCACTAAAACCCAGAACTCCAGCTCCTACGAAAACTCTGGATCTCAAATCCCTCGGTTTGCTGTGCCAATCTGCACGACATGTAGATTGAGGAGACAGGTCCCGAGCGAATCTACGACAAGGACTGGCAAGAGTGCATGTGCGCACAGCTATGCACTTGTTCAGGGTTTGGAGTTTCAAGGCAGAGGGTTTTGAGATGTTTTGAGATGTGGATGAGAGACGGTCGGAGCCCGGCAGTTTTTGGTGCCCATGCATGTGATTTGCTGGCAGAGGATATACCTACTAATATACAATATTATTATAAGATAATGTACCATCATCATACCAATATGAATACCATACTACTATACGATAATAGTACTAGGAGAGTCAAGGTAGACCTGACCTGAGCCTTCTCAGAGGTCGTCTTCAGTGACGGAGACAAATTTGGTGTCCCGTCACCCGGATACGTTCAGGCTGCAGCAGTTCTTGGACTCAGCTCCTGCTGATGTTGGCAGAAGTGTTGGGACTCTGGAACCCTAAACCCTAAATCCTAAACGCTAAACCCAAATAAACCCTAAACCCAAACAAACCCTAAACCCTAAACGGCCCTAAACCCTGAGTGCTGCTGTCGCATGCTGCTCAAGCATGCGTCTCCAGACTTCAAGATGCTTAGAAGCGGATGGTTTGTGCACTTGTGTGCCCGACTGAGGTCAGGGATCAAGAACTGGCTGAATGCCCTGCAGGCAGGGCAGGCGTGTTTTACGCTGGGAATGCCTCGGCTCTGGTCGAACTGAGCAGCTTGTGAACAGCTGCAGTTTCTGTTTGACGACCCATCCCAGCCTCGCCATTGCATGCAGACGAAGTTGTGACGGCAGCTTTTGGCACTTGCAAGTGAATTCAACCCTAAACCCTAAACCCTCAACCCTGAACTCACCTGAAAAGTCTTCAACTCCATCCAGAGGAGAAGTTTCCGGAAGAGAGGGATGCTATCGACGTCTATGCCAAGGACCTCAAGGTGCCGATCTCCGAGACTCCTTTAGGGGTTCCTTTAAGGGATCTGTAGGGGATCCTTTAAAGGTGTCTTAATGAACAGCGCTCGAAGAGCAGAAGCCAACCATGGCAATGCTTGTAAGCGATGTTTGAGCCTGGAGTTGTGTGCAGGGCTGGCCCTCGCTGACGTACTTACGTATTCGTTCTTCCGCACTGGGCTGTGGCTGATGATGTCCTACAGTCCTACAGAATTGAATGGCTTTGTTCCACTGCTTGCAGAGTTGATTGCAGGCGACACAGACAAGCTTTTTTCCCATGATGATATGGCGCAGCATTCCTTCCGAATGGCTAAGCTACTTGGATGCGTGCCAGTCACGGTCTGGAGAAGGTCCTTTTCCCCCTTTTCTGCTCCGCTCAGAACGCAAGCTTTACAACTTGCTGGCCGCCCCGAACCTTCACCTTTGCATGCTCGCTGGCAAGAAGATGCAGGAGCTCACGCAGTACCCAAGCTGCATCAAGGGGTGCATGATCATGGGTAGCAGGGGAACGCACAGAGACTCCGTGTGATAGTATGATGAGACGGTTGCATCTACTGAATCTACCACCAAGTTCATCCCAGCTTCAAGACAGCATGCATGTCTCAGACGACCCAACACCTCTACACTCGTTTGCAAGCAATCCTAGTTTCATGCCAAGGAATGAGCGTCTCAAAGCGGCAAGGACCTCAGTCCAGCTTTATGCTTACAGTCCTTGCAAGCCCGATTCCTATGCACAGCAACCAAAAGGAGCATGGAAAGGCACATCACACGAGAACTTGGGTATTTCAGGGTGCTTGGCATCATGGTTTGGGGTTTGGTGTTTCGCGTTTCAGATCGGCTGGCTTGAGGAGGGCCTGCATACGGATGGTTCGAAACATCGCTTCCTTTCGGGGCACAGTCGGAGTTGTTATGTGGGTGAGACGGTTCAAGTTTCACTCAAGTCTAAACCCTGAATCCCTTACCTAGGACACTAAAGAGCCTCAACAGACCTTCAGCGCTAAGCCCCCTCAAGCTCTATGCAGCAATATGCACTGCGTATCGCAAGGTCAGAGTGGAGGGTGCTTTGACAAAGCTCTTATGCACATGTGGGGTTTGAGGCTTGCTGGTTTGTACAGAAATTCGCCTGACCTGAAGCTGGGATATTCAATTGCCTGGAATTGATGTAGCCTTGTCCTGCAGGATTGATAGTTCGGGGTTGAAGTGCTAATGATGTAGAGACTGATGTGGTCAAGTTCCGGGTATGCAGCTGCATTCTCGATGTCTGATGTGTCCCTGAGAGGTTCGAAGGTTAAGGAAGGTTGGGGTTATAGGCTTATAGTTCTTTGAGTTTCGAAGAGTGACAGGCGGTTCAGAACGGAAACTGATGAGCTGTACTAAGATGCCAGCATTCACTGAGAAGCCCGATAGCCTCGCCCAGATTCTTGGATACATCTCCCTGGGATGCATTGGAGTAACCTTGGAGAAGATGGACTACAGGAGACTCGCTCTTCGAAGCCGAAGAGGGAGTGGCTTCCATGGGAGTCAGTGAGGGGTTCTGCTGCACAATATAGAAGCCTGGGTACTTACCATTACTGTTCATGAGGCTTCCTATGATAATCATAGTAAGACACTCCAGAACCTTATTCTACCTATTGAGGTCTCAACATGTCCTTTTGTACCGGCACTCCCAATGCCTCCGCACTTCGGGAAGGGAGCTCTCCCACGCAATGAGATCCAAGCAGGTGTTGGCAAGTGGAGATGACCATCGTAGCAACCGCTCTAGGCCCCCCCCCCCTCCCTTTTTTGGCTCCGATTCTACCTGTATAGCACCAACTTCCGATTTCCACTACTGCTGCTCCTCCTGCCACTACTGCTACTGCGGCTGCGGCTGCCGCTTCACTGCTACCACTACCACCCACCTCATGGAGCTGCAAGCAGCACTGGGTACTGTTACCACTATCTCAAGTTTTGCCGTGGTTACTGTTGCTTGTACACTTTCTTTACCGTTCTGGCATTAGAATTTTCGTTCTCATCGTGTTTGACATTGGTTGATTCTGGTTCTGCCTAGAGGGTTTAGGGTTTAGGCCCTAANNAAATCCTAAACCCTAAACCCTGATCATTGTGGTTCTTACTCTCATTGGGGAGCCTGTGCTTCCTCTTGTTCTGGATCCCAGGAGCATGCTTGGGTTACACCTCCACTTCGGCGAGGGCGCCTACTTCCCGGTGCCTCAACCTTTCTCCGGAAATGTTTGGGGCCTCTTATGGGTTCAGGGCTTTGCAGTTCTGCGGTTTAGGACTTCATGCACTTGGGGTTTTCAGGGTGCTCCCTAAACCCGAAACCCTAAAC